TGCAGGCACTGAGGCATCACCCCGAGGCAGGTGGGAACCCTCAGGAAAGGAGACACCCTGGGAGAGCCTAAAGGTGGTGAGAAGAGTCTGAAAGGGCCTGGGGCCTGGGAGATGGTGTGGGCGGCCAGTAAGGGTCTGGCCTGGCATGCAGCCAACCCAGTATTGATGCCAAGGGTCCCCCAAGGCACCCAGGAGTGATCCCTGAATGTAGAGCCAAGAGTAAGGCCCGGGCGTTACTGGGTATGGCCCCCAAAACAAAACAAGAATATGAAAAGGCCCTCAGGAGTCCAAGGTCTTTTCCCCGCAACTACACCCAGATGAAACCTCCCGCATGCAGGGAGCTCCGGGTCAAGAGAGTTCAGAAGAATCAAACTGGCAGGCACTCGAGGTACATGCTCCGCCCTGGGTCTGGCCTGATCTCAGCCTGAGCTCTGCATTCCCAGCTGTCCCCCAGGAGAAGCCATGCTCGCTCACACACACACACACACACACACACACACACACACACACACACACACACACTTCCTCTCCCCCCTTCACATTTCTCTAAGTAATTTTTATTTAAATAAAACTATTTTACTTGGAGCTGGAGCAACAGTACAGTGGATAGGGCATTTGCCCCAACCCAGGTTCGATACCCAGCATCCCATATGGTCCCCTGAGCACTGCCAAGAGTAACTCCTGAGTGCAAAGCCAGGAGTAACCCCTGCGCGTTGCCAGGTGTGACCTCCTAAAAAAACTATTTTAATTTACAAAAATACACAAAATAAAATTTTTAAAGCATTTCTCTTTGGGGGCCAAGAGATAGTAGAGGGGTTAAGGCACTTGCCACGCATGTGGCCAACCCCGGTTTTGATCCCCACCATCATTATAGTCCCTGAGCACCACCGGGAGTGATCCCTGGGCACAGAACAGAGGGTACTGTTAGACCAACAAGTACTGTTAGATGTGACCCCCACCTCCAACCCTCCTCCTCAGATTAAATAAATAAGTAAAAACTTCCTCTTCATTTTGTGGTATGAATACACACTGGGATACTAAACAGTCCTAAGGACAACTTGGATGGAATGGGAGGGCATCGTGTTAAGATAAATAAGTCAGTGGGAGATGAACGAATGTCAGATGACCGTGCTCATCCATGGCATAGAAGGAGACAAAACAAAGGCACAGCAGTATTCCGCAAAGAGGCCGCTGGCGGCAGAACTGAGATTACCAAGCAGGACGGCAAGGGACAGGGAGGGCAGTGAAGGCCGACTTGAGGTGACACAGGGACAGCGGCAGAAGATCTGGGCACTGTGTCAGTGATGAAGACGCACTTCCTCTGTCCTTCAACACTATCCACACGAATACTTGTTGTCACCACATTAGCTCAGCCCAACACACATAAAAACAAATTAAAAACAAAAAAACTTCTCTTTGTTCTCCAGCTATTGATTTTCTGGGGGTGGGGAAAACCAGGTTACACCAACACCATATTCGCTGTTTCAAACAAGCTTTGGGGCTGAAGGGGAGGCTGAGGCTGATCATGTCTTAGGATGCTGAAGCCTGAACTTGAGTGCAGATATTTTGTCACCTGGGATGTGTATGCTTAGAAGTCTTTGATTCTTTGCCAGTTCTTTGCTGTGTGTAATTTCATACAAGGAGCACAGTGAGACAAAACAATGTTCACACATTCTTCTAAGGGAACAGTTTTCAAAATCATTTTTAGCAAATTATTTATAACAAACAATATGAAATAAATTATTCAGGGCCTACTATAGGGGAAGACTTGAGGGGTGGCTGAGAAAATTGTAAATAATGGTGGTGGGATTGGAGTTGGAATATTGAATGTAATAAATCACCAGGAACAACTTTATAAAAATAAACTAATTTTTAAAAATTTCACACAAAGGGAAGAGACAAGCTTCTCTAGACAAAACAGGGCATTCATTCCACTAATGTTAATCTTTGGCCTATGGCTCTAACGGGTAGTATAGTGATGAGCGATCAGGCAATACTGATTTTCAAAGAAATCACTTTCTAGCAGGATCAAAGAAATAAAATAACTTAGCCAGTCCCACAAAGAAAGAAAAATAGGACCATGCAGTAAAAGGTGAGTTGGTCTTTGGTTGTGTTGTCTAAACTGAGTTGTCTTGAACTGTGTGGTGTTTTGTTGTGTTGAGCTGGTACGGTTGGGTTTTACTATATTGTATTAGGTTGAGTTGTATGGGTTTGAGTTGCATCAGGTTTGAATTGTGTTGCACGATATTGAGCTCTTTTGTATTGGTCTGGATTGTGCTGAGTGGGCTGAACTATATTTTTTGGGTTCTGTTGTGTTGAATTGTATTGGTTTGAGTTGAATTCGGTTCTACTGCATTGGTTGAGTCGTGCTGGTTTAGATAGTGTCAGATTGTGTTGAGTTATGTTGGGTTGAGCTGTCTTGAACTGGGTTGTGTTGGATGAGTTGAGCTGTGTTAGGTTCTGTTGTACTGAACTGTGTTGTGTGGGTCTGAGTTTGCCAGGTTTTGGTGTGCTTGTACTGGGTTGTGTTATATTAGGTTGAGTTGTGTCAGCTTGTGTGGGGCTGTGTTGTGTTGCACTGGGCTGCATTGGTTTGATTTGGGTTGTATCAGCTTCAGTTTTTTAGGGGTGAGTGAAGCTGTGTTGTGTTGGGTTCGGTGTTTTGGTGGTTGGGTGGGTTTTGGCCCTGGTGGAACTTGAGAAGTCTGAATTGGGACTGAACTAGTTAGAGGAGAAAGTGACCTTCCTGGGCAGAAACAAGAGCCGCATGGTTCTGTTTCTGCCCGCTAAAACGTTGTGCGTATCTTAAGAGATTAAGTCTTGCCTCCTGCCACAAGCTGGTGGGACTGGAGGTATTAGGCACAATAAGTCAGACTGAGAAAGACTAAAAGCAGATGGTCTCACTTCTAGGTGATATATATAGAAACAGTCACAGTCATAGTCACAGTCCTCCCGTTGTTCATCGATTTTGTTCGAGCAGGCCCAGTAACGTCTCCATCGTGAGACTTGATGTTACTATGTTTGGCATATCGAATACTTCACGGATAACTTGCCAGGCTTTGCCCTGGCTCGACACTCTCGGTAGCTTGCCGAGCTCTCCGAGAGGGGCGGAGGAATCGAACTCGGGTTGGCCATGTTGGCTGCGTGCAAGGCAAACGCCCTACCGCTGTGCTATCGCTCCAGCCCATATACAGAAACAAAGCAAGAAAATAGACAGAGTCTGCTGAAAAAAAAAAAAAGGAGGCTATTAAGGGTAGGGCGAGTGAGCGAGAAGAGTTCTATGAGGAAGGCTGGAGGGATACTGGCACTTTCAAGGTGGCAGTGGTCCCCTAGAACACGTATTTACTCTCTTGTAAGCCAATGTTGAATCAATTTTAAAAAGACAAAGGATTTTTTGCAAGCATTAAAAAAAAACAACTTTGGGCATGTCTTTGTAGTCGATTCTGTCTCTTTTCTAAATTATGGGCCATCTAGGGCTAGAGGAATAAGTCATGGGCTGGAGGACGTGCTCTACAGCAGGAGGCCCCAGGTTTGATCCCCGGTACCACTTGCTCTCCTGAGCACTGCCAGGAGTAACCCCTCTGTACGGTGCTGGTACAGCCCCACAAATACACAAACAAAGATGGGTCTTCTAGCACGGAGCCCTGTTACCCTCCTCCTTCACGAAAGGCCTTCCCTGGGGTAAGCAGATCCCAGGCATACAGCTTTGGGGCCCCCAATCCTTGGCTCCTGCCTCCCCCCCCGCCCCACCCTCAAGAATAGAAGCTTTAAATGAACAGAAACTTTCTCAAAGAAGAAATCCGAATGGCTAAAAGGCACATGAGAAAATGCTCTACATCATTAATCATCAGGGAGATGCAGATCAAAACAACAATGAGATATCATCTCACACCACAGAGACTGGCCTACATCCAAAAGAACAAAAGCAACCAGTGCTGGTGCGAATGCAGTGAGAAAGGGACCCTCCTTCACTGCTGGTGGGAATGCCGAATGGTTTAGCCCTTTTGGAAAACAGTATGGACGATTCTCAAAAAATTAGAAATTGAGCTCCCATTTGACCCAGCAATACCACTCCTGGGAATATATCTCAGAGAGGCAAAAAAGTATAGTCGAAGTGACATCTGCACTTGTTTGTTCATTGCAGCACTCTTTACAATAGCCAGAATCTGGAAAAACCTGAGTGCTTGAGAACAGATGACTGGTTAAAGAAACTTGGGTACATCTAACAATGGAGTACTAGGTAGCTGTTAGAAAAGATGAAGTCATGAAATTTATATACAAGTGGTACTACATGCAAAGTATCATGCTAAGCGAAATGAGTCAGAAAGAAAGGGATAGACATAGAAAGATTGCATTCATCTGGGGAACATAAAAAAAAATAGGAGACTAACACCCAATAATAGCCGAGATAAGTACCAGGAGGTTTACTCCACAGCTTGGAGGCCAGCCACACATGCTAGGGGAAAAGGCAGCTCAGATAGAGAAGGGAGCACCAAATAAAGGGTGTTGGGAGGATCCTCCCAGGATGGGAGATGCATGCTGAAAGTAGACTATAGACCGAACATGATTGCCACTCAATGCTTCTTTTGCAAACCACAGCACCCAAAAGGACAGAGAGACCAAAAGGGAATGCCCTGCCACAGAGGCAGGGTGCGAGGGGGGGGGGGGAGGATGGGGGGTGGGAGGGATGCTGGGACCCCTGGTGGTGGAGGATGGGCACTGGTGGAGGGATGGGTACTTGATCATTGTATAATTCAAACCCAAGCACAAAAATTTGTCTACAACTGTACCTTATGGTGTTTCACTAATAAAAATTAAAAAAAAAAAAGAATAGAAGCTTTAGAGTAAAGTAGGGAAACGCTCCCTCATGGAGGGAGCAGGGTGTGGGGGCCCACCTAATCTTTCAGGCTCTCACGGGACAGTGGAGAGGAAAGACCCCCAGCCCGGCGGGGAGTAGGGGGTACAGTCCGAGCGCGCTCCACCCACCACGCCCCGCTAACCTGCACACGGGCCTCGGTGAGGTCTGTCCTCATGGCCAGCTGCTCTCTGGCGTACACGTCGGGGTAGTGGGTCTTCTGGAAGACTTTCTCCAGCTCCTCCAGCTGGTAGCTGGTGAAGGTAGTACGATTCCGTCGCTTCTTGCCCTTGTTGCTCTCCGAGTCGGCCTTCTCCAGCGGGCTGGGCAGCTCGGCGCTGGCCCGGTCCTGGGGCCCCTTCACGCCCGCCTCCTTCACCCCGAGGTAGCTGCTCTCCATCCCCACGGTGTCCGAGGCTGGCGGGAGCTCGGGCTCCCCCAGGGAGCTCTCTTTGGCTGAGGGGGCAAAGGACAGAAGCCAGTGACTGAACCTGCTATGAGAAGTGAGAGGTCCAGGGCCCCGCCCCGTTCCCCCCCCCCCCCACCCCAGGACCCACTCCCTTCTCAGAGGTGCACAGGATTTGGTCCAGGGCACAGCCCACCTCCACTCGCCCCCCCAGGACCCACTCCCTTCTTAGAGGTGCACAGGATTTGAGGTCAAGAGATTCCGGTTGTCAGGCTGCAGAGGTTGTACCTGGGTATAGCGCTTGTGCACCCAAGTGGCTCTGGTTTGATCCCCTACACCACATATGGTGGGATGGGGGCATCACCCCCAAGCACAGAAGCAGGAATACCCCAGAACACCTTTGGGTGTGATCTAATAACCAAAGAAAAAGGAGAGAGAGAGAAGAGAGCGAGAGAGAGAAAGAGGGAGGGAGAGACAGAGGGAGAGATGGAGAGAGGGAGAGAGGGGGAGAGAGAGAGGGAGGGAAGGAGAGAGAGGGAGAGAGGGAGAGAGAGAGAAGGAGAGAGAGAGGGAGAGAGTGAGACAGAGGGAGAGACAGAGGGAGGGAGGGAGATAGGGAGAGAGAGAAGGAGAGAGAGAGAAGAGAGGGAGAGAGAGAAAAAGGGAGGGAGTCAGAGTGAGATGGAGAGAGGGAGAGAGGGGGAGAGAGGGAGGGAAGGAGAGAGAGGGAGAGAGGGAGAAAGAGAGAAGGAGAGAGAGAGGGAGAGAGTGAGACAGAGGGAGAGACAGAGGGAGGGAGGGAGATAGGGAGAGAGAGAAGGAGAGAGAGAAGAGAGGGAGAGAGAGAAAGAGGGAGGGAGAGTCAGAGTGAGATGGAGAGAGGGAGAGAGGGGGAGAGAGAGGGAGGGAAGGAGAGAGAGGGAGAGAGGGAGAGAGAGAGAAGGAGAGAGAGAGGGAGAGAGTGAGACAGAGGGAGAGACAGAGGGAGGGAGGGAGATAGGGAGAGAGAGAAGGAGAGAGAGAAGAGAGGGAGAGAGAGAAAGAGGGAGGGTCAGAGTGAGATGGAGAGAGGGAGAGAGGGGGAGAGAGAGAAGGAGAGAGAGGGAGAGAGGGAGACAGAGGGAGAGACAGAGGGAGGGAGGGAGATAGGGAGAGAGAGAAGGAGAGAGAGAAGAGAGGGAGAGAAAGAGGGAGGGAGAGTCAGAGTGAGATGGAGAGAGGGAGAGAGGGGGAGAGAGAGAGAGAAGGAGAGAGAGAGAGAGAGGGAGACAGAGGGAGAGACAGAGGGAGGGAGGGAGATAGGGAGAGAGAGAAAGAGAGAGAGAAGAGAGGGAGAGAGAGAAAGAGGGAGGGAGAGTCAGAGTGAGATGGAGAGAGGGAGAGAGGGAGACAGGAGAGGGAGAGACAGAGGGAGGGAGGGAGATAGGGAGAGAGAGAAGGAGAGAGAGAAGAGAGGGAGAGAGAGAAAGAGGGAGGGAGAGTCAGAGTGAGATGGAGAGAGGGAGAGAGGGGGAGAGAGAGGGAGGGAAGGAGAGAGAGGGAGAGAGGGAGAGAGAGAGAAGGAGAGAGAGAGGGAGAGAGTGAGACAGAGGGAGAGACAGAGGGAGGGAGGGAGATAGGGAGAGAGAGAAGGAGAGAGAGAAGAGAGGGAGAGAGAGAAAGAGGGAGGGTCAGAGTGAGATGGAGAGAGGGAGAGAGGGGGAGAGAGAGAAGGAGAGAGAGGGAGAGAGGGAGACAGAGGGAGAGACAGAGGGAGGGAGGGAGATAGGGAGAGAGAGAAGGAGAGAGAGAAGAGAGGGAGAGAAAGAGGGAGGGAGAGTCAGAGTGAGATGGAGAGAGGGAGAGAGGGGGAGAGAGAGAGAGAAGGAGAGAGAGAGAGAGAGGGAGACAGAGGGAGAGACAGAGGGAGGGAGGGAGATAGGGAGAGAGAGAAAGAGAGAGAGAAGAGAGGGAGAGAGAGAAAGAGGGAGGGAGAGTCAGAGTGAGATGGAGAGAGGGAGAGAGGGAGACAGGAGAGGGAGAGACAGAGGGAGGGAGGGAGATAGGGAGAGAGAGAAGGAGAGAGAGAAGAGAGGGAGAGAGAGAAAGAGGGAGGGAGAGTCAGAGTGAGATGGAGAGAGGGAGAGAGGGGGAGAGAGAGAGGGAGGGAAGGAGAGAGAGGGAGAGAGGGAGAGAGAGAGAAGGAGAGAGAGGGAGAGAGTGAGACAGAGGGAGAGACAGAGGGAGGGAGATAGGGAGAGAGAGAAGGAGAGAGAGAGAAGAGAGGGAGAGAGAGAAAGAGGGAGGGAGAGACAGAGGGAGAGATGGAGAGAGGGAGAGAGGGGGAGAGAGAGAGGGAGGGAAGGAGAGAGAGGGAGAGAGGGAGAAAGAGAGAGAGAAGGAGAGAGGGAGAGAGGGAGACAGAGGGAGAGACAGAGGGAGGGAGGGAGATAGGGAGAGAGAGAAGGAGAGAGAGAAGAGAGGGAGAGAGAGAAAGAGGGAGGGAGAGTCAGAGTGAGATGGAGAGGGAGAGAGGGGGAGAGAGAGGGAGGGAGGGAGAGAAGAGAGGGAGAGAGGGAGAGAGAGGAAAAGACAGAGGGAGGGAGGGAGATAGGGAGAGAGGGAGGGATGGGGAGAGAGACTGAGAGAAAGAGGGAGAGAGAGAGGGAGGGAAGGAGAGAGAGGGAGAGAGGGAGAAAGAGAGAGAGAAGGAGAGAGAGGGAGAGAGGGAGACAGAGGGAGAGACAGAGGGAGGGAGGGAGATAGGGAGAGAGAGAAGGAGAGAGAGAGAAGAGAGGGAGAGAGAGAAAGAGGGAGGGAGAGTCAGAGTGAGATGGAGAGAGGGGGAGAGGAGGAGAGAGAAAGGGAGGGAAGGAGAGAGGGAGAGAGGGAGAAAGAGAGAGAGAGAAGGAGAGGGAGAGAGGGAGACAGAGGGAGAGACAGAGGGAGGGAGGGAGATAGGGAGAGAGAGGAGAGAGAGAGAAGAGAGGGAGAGAGAGAAAGAGGGAGGGAGAGTCAGAGTGAGATGGAGAGGGAGAGAGGGGGAGAGAGAGAGGGAGGGAGAGAAGAGGGAGAGAGGGAGAGAGAGGAAAAGACAGAGGGAGGGAGGGAGATAGGGAGAGAGGGAGGGATGGGGAGAGAGACTGAGAGAAAGAGGGAGAGAGAGGGAGGGAAGAGAGACAGAGAGACAAAGGTTCTAATCTTGGCTTGTCAATGCTTGTGACCACAGACAAATCCCTTTCCCCCTCTGAGCCTCTTTGCTATCCTCCGGAAATGTGGCCCTTCAGTACCCGTGTAGAGTGACTCAGGACCATCCAATCTGACCTCCATGACCTTAGAGAGCTTCTCAAATGGCTTCCTCAGACCAGATCTTTCCCTTCGGGCCTCAAAGTCCAGAGTCCTGTGCTCTCAGCACCGAGCCCTATCTAGCTCCAAGGGACGTGCGGCCTAGTCCTGTCTGGGGTTCAGCTGCAACGATGAAGACACCCCAAGGATCCAGAGTGAGGGTCCCATCCCCACCACCTCTACAATGACCTCTGCAGCCCCTTAGGGCGAAACCACCATGAGGAAGGACTCTGAACAGTGTCCCCAGCCCAGGAAGCTACACTGTGGTCCTGGGAAATCTGCACCTGGCTCTTGGTCTCTAACAGAATGGAATTCGAGAAGCTTCTAGAAGCTTCTGTCTGGAAAGGCCCGCAGGAGGGGAGGGCCAGGGAAGTTTGAAGACCTCACAGCTCATCAGCATCCCGGGTGCACACTTGCCTCGGGGGCTGAGGCAGGGCTGGCTCTGGGTGCAACACTCACTCCAGTTGTTTGCTTTGTGTCTCAGTTTCTCCCTCTGTAAAATGGGGGTGAAGAGACCCTTCCCTAAGTGTCCTCTTCAAGGTGGCTGCAGGCAGGGAATGTGGCCTCTGTGGCAGAGCACAGGCCTGGGTCACATGCCAACCCCTGCTGGGCCCCTGGCAGCCCCAGAAGCACCGCTAGGAATGCCTCCCCCACCCCCCCAAAATAGAAACTTGGAATTCAAGAGGCCGATGGGGTCAGACACGCCCAAGAGGCGGAGACTCCTGGCCCTGGTCTGGGCTTGCAGGCGGCAGAAAATTCTGACTCCCGGAGAACCCCCAGGAGTGGGGGAGGAGAGTCTGGGGTGCGGGTACCCCCACCCCATTCCTTCGTCTGGGACTCAGGGAACAGCTTTGGTGCGGGCAGGAGAGAGGGGGGGAATCTACCCCTACCCAGACCCTCCGCGTCATCCTCTGAGCACTGCAGGAAGGGCCAGGAACAGCCCTTGGCGCCACCTCTCCACCCGCTGTCCCGCCACGCCTCACCTCTCCCCCAGCACCCCTGTGCACTCCGGGCTGGATGAGGAGACAGAAGTCTGGAGACACGCTGGTTTCTCCCCTCTCCAAGACACCACAGGGGAGTGGGGGTGGGGGGGGGGAGTGTTGGGGGCCTGAGGACAACTTCCAGAGGCTGTTCCCAAGCGCCACGGTGGGTGGGGTGAGGGGGCCCCCCTCTCTCGCAGGACCCCCCTCCCCATAAGCCACCCCAGCCTCGGGGACCACATTCACGCAACCATCACTGGCCTGGCGGGCTGAGAGCTTTCAGCCAAGATATTTATCTTCCTGGCAGAGAAGTCAGTGTTAGGTTTGGGGTTGGGGTTTTCTTTTTGTTTTGTTTTTGGAGGAATCCCACCCAGCCTTTCCACAAATAAACATCTGTTATGCAACTTCCTGGAGGCCAGAGTGGGGGGCAGCCCTTATCCCTCCTGCCCTGCTGGACGCCTGGGGCCCCATCCATGACCCTGAGACCTTTACCGTATCTTCTGGTCTCTGTCCGGGACTCAGGTCTACCCTGCTCAGCAGCAGGGGCCAGAAGAGGGGGCAGTGGGGGAGGGGAGGGGGGCGTCACATCATAGATCCCCGATGCCTGGGCAAAGCCCAAGCTCCTTGGGGCGGGAGCCCAGTGGTTGGGGGCATGAGGCCAGAGAAAGCAGGGAATGTGCACTGACCCTTCTCCACCTCTCCAGGCTTGGGTGGGGGCACCCCCTAGACAGAGGTGGGGGCAGATG